CCCCAAAACCCCAAAACCCCAAAACCCCAAAACCCCAAGAAGAAATTTAGTTATTGATTTTTCAAATATAAATTTTTAAAAATGATTAGAAGAAGAGATAATATGAATATTTTGAATAATTCAGTCGATGCAGGACAAAATTCGTTCAGACTGGATCATTTTTAGCACACATAGTTTACACCATGCTGAAAGAAGTGCTTCTAGGGAGGCAGAAACTGTGAGAGGTCAACAGAGAAAGATCTCTATAATTGACCAACCCTTGGTTAATTCCACTATTGATGATAGCTTATGTCAGTTCGACCAGAGACGGAGTATTTATACTCTAAGAGAAAACACCAAACGATCATCCAGAAGGTATTGCTCAAGGGCCCAAACTGCTAAGAAGAAATATAAACCTTCCGTTCGGGACATGACAATCACGGATAGGTCACATAATGAGTTTTTTGGCATTAAGGGTTATAAGGCTCCTAGGAATTTGATTGAGAAAAGTACTGACAGCAAGCGTATGATCTCTTCCTTCAACAGAGCTAAGATATTATCAATGTTTCAAGTTCAAGCAGACGAGAAGAAGAAAATCCCTGCTCCTTGTGCCTACTCCTCAATGATAAAATGGGACAAAGAGACTATCGAGGGAGGTTTCTTGAACAAGAAGAAGAGAGTCACTCTTTATGATGAACTTATTAGGAAATCTAAAGAGTCTCCAGGTGTTGGGAAATACAAATGGAACAAACCCTTCAAGTTGAGAGGGTACTCAAGAGAAAGATCAAGAAGAGTCACTTTTATTGATGAAATGAAGGTCCATGGCAAAGAAATACCTGGCCCTAAGTATATTAAAGATAGAGGAATAAAAAAAAGTAAGTACAAATTTGGAGACTCTGCTGTGCTGAAATAACTCCCCAAATTACACATTCAGAAAGTTAAAGAAGAATAAAGGGAAGATTCAGCCTTCCTCAACATTTATTAAGGAGGAGAATGGTCTTTTAGTGAGTAAATAAAGTATCTCCTGCTTATTATAAGGCCAACGAGGCTTTTCTGAAAACTCAGAAAATAGTTAAATAACAAATGTATCTTCAACAAGAACAAGGAGAAGAGATATTTCGATAGAATAGTAGAGGACAAGAAGAAGATCCCTGGAGTTGGTCAGTACAAGAATATTGAGAGAGCGAAGGACAAGTTCACATCCCGACCAGTAACCTCAAAGAGTAGATCCATAGGTAGAAAATAAATTATTCAATATATTTTATAAGCTGTGGGGTTTTGGGGTTTTGGGGTTTTGGGGTTTTGGGG